TACAGGGCATTAAGAAAAAAACCCCAAACCACACATTTCTTCTACCTAACACAACTCCTGTTTAAACTTATGTCCAGAAACGCAGGCAAACACACAGAAAGAGAAGATGAGGCTGCAGCAGCTTGCCACATCTCATTGGAGAGATTTTTTATTTTTTATTTATAAACCTGTTTTCCATTTAAGTGCTTAACACTGTGGATAACACACACACATTGATTAGCTGCTATTTTTGCTTCCACAGCGCTATCACTGACAGCAGTTTTACTGAAGAGAACCCCACAACCAGCACTGAAAATAGTAGCAGAGCTCTCATACAAAGTGATTTTCAGTAACACATCAAAAATACGCTGTCAAAGATTAACTTCTTGCCTCCAAAAGCAAAGAATCTTTTAACTGATGATCTACCCAACAGCAGTTTAAAGAGACCTCTAGTCATCATATCAGACACATACAGCACAATGTATTAACAAAAATGTATCAAATACTGCTGGTAAATCAGTCCCCAAATTATGCAAAGCTAGTTACGTGGATTATTTTTGTATAAATGCTTGGTGTTTTGCAACATCTGGCAAAGATGGAAAAAAAACCCACCTCCATGAGCATGAGTTTTACTGTAAATGCTTCAGTTTTGGCCTTGCAATCCCATGGAGTGCCAAGTAATTGGCTAATCCACTTTCAGAAATTACTGGGTTTTGGTTTGGTTTGTTGTTTTTTTTTTACTTCTCTTGAATAAACTGCAAAGCTATGCCCTGCCTTCCCCTGTCGTTTCACTGCATGAGAATAAAGACTGTAGCTTATTATGCAGCTTAATGATATGTTAATCTTAAAAGCAAAACACTGAAGTGAAACACTAATACTGTCACCAAAACAAACTAACAATCAGAAAATGTGCTATTGAGTGTGATAGAGCTGTATGCCCAAATAATGTGAGAAACCAAAGCAGTAATTAGCACAAATTGTTTTATTTGACAGAATTAACAGAATATATGCAACTTGCTACTATGATGCAGTTTAAAGAAGAGGAAGAGTTGGCTTCTTATGGACTAGCTGGCATTAAAGCTATAAAACAAAGGACACTGCAAAAGGTAAAGCTGAACCTAAAGAGAAGATATGTTAGAATTCTATGGGGAGATACAAAACGAATTTTACAGGGAGATACAAAATGAATTTTACATATTCTTCTTCTTTGAAGTCAGAACTGAGGGATTTTTTTTAAACAAGGTACAGATTTTCTACAGGAATACCTACCCCGTAATTTTTTTGAATCTTCTGTACTGAAAATTAATGTTCATGGTATTCTGATGAAATGCTAAGATAATAATTTTTAAAAGTATATATTCTCTCCTGGAAGCTATTCTGCATGAAGCATTAAACTATTTTACTTCTGCAGGTTCTGTGCTAAAAGAAGTTAGGGCAAAATGTAGTACACAAAAATACTGTCATCCCACATGTCCTGGGAAGGCTAAATTCAAGCAGCAGACAAAGATCATCTTATCCACAACAGTTAAAAAAAAACAAAAAACCAAACAAAAAAAAAACCAAAGAACCCCCAGCACTAATACCACCAAACAAAATCACTATTTAGTCTTTACAGTTGTTTTCTGTAACTTGGAAGACCATTTTGCAAGGGGTAAGTTGTCCCTTGTTGCAATCTTTAACCCCTGCTCTGGCTGCACCTTTGCACAAACACGACTATCAGCAACTCATTTTTACAGATGAGGAAAATCAAGGAAGCTTAGTACTGACTTACGTGAGCTGCAAATACTAGTAATAGTTTATTAAAGATAAGTATTTTGAAGGATACAGACTCCAGCCTGACATTTGCATCTCTTTTATGTCCTACAGAACTTCCTGGCAACGTAAGATGTAACTGGCACAGAAAATAAGAACAGGCAGAATGAAAGAAGAGTTGAAAAAGCATCCCAGGAAAATGCTCTGGGGAGAACTTAAAGCAGCCTTCCGACACCCACAGGAGCCTGTAAGAAAACTGGAAAGGGCCTTTTTCCACAGGCATGTAGTGAAAGGACAAGGGGGAATGGCTCTACACTGACACAGTGGAGATTTAGATGAGATCTGAGGAAGAAGTTCTTCCCTGTGAGGGTGGTGAGGTCCTGGCACAGGTTGCTCAGAGAAGCTGTGGCTGCCCCAACCCTAGCAGTGCTCAAGGCTGGACAGGGCTTGGAGCAATCTGGTCTAGTGGAAGGTGTCCCTGCTCATGGCAGGGGTGTTGGAACTGGATGAGCTTTAAGGTCCCTTTCAACCCAAACCATTCTGTGGTTCTATGCTGCAGCTATCAGCTTAATGCACAACAATCTAACATGTTCAAGATGTAAAACCACAGTTACACAATCTTCTGGCAGAACTCTCTGCCACTGGCCATATGTTCCCATCTTCTCTTGTGAGAAAATTAAGCCAATAAAAAGGGGGGGGGGGGGGGGGGGGGGGCTAAAGAAGGGAGATTGACTACAGCTGAAACATACAACACTGTACAACACGAGCATAGAAAACACTAGTGTTTGCCAGCCTGATTTTGCCTTTGTCTTCACCCGTATCCAAATAGTTTTTCTGAATATGTTACAGGGCAATTAAAAAAAGTTCATGGATTAAGAGAATGTTATTTATTAAAACACTTAGTAACTTGGGTATGGTGTGTCTCAAGAACCAGCATGTGAAATCCTTAACAAGGGAGTGCTGGAAAAGAGGAGTATCCCTGTCAAACATACTCAACTTCCATTTTGCTATGTGACATAACGATTTTGACGGGGTTTTGACACATACTATGACTTAGTTGAAAGTGGGATTTTGTTTATTCTAGAGAATTTTACAAACTGTGCATGCACAGTAGAGTAAGTACCTTCAAGAGATCATTATGCTAAACTGAAAAACAGTTTAGACGAGTATATGCCCTGAAACTAAATCCACTGCAAACATAACACAAGGGAAAGCTTTTCTGCAGAAGAATCATATTTAAGTGAATAAAGAACTGTTTAAGGAAGAAGGAAACATTGGACAAACAAGCATTTTATTACCGCTTTGCATATCTAGATTAACATTTTAAGCAGTCACAGCTACCCAGAGAAGATGGAGTGAGACTCCATCTCACTGGAATAGTAGTAGAAAAGGCAACAGCTCCAAGACGCAGCAGGAGAAATTCCTCCTAAATATTAGGAATTACAGAACAGAAGAAGGCCCCAGACAGGTTGTGAAATCTCCATCCTTGGAGATACTAAAAACTTGACTGGACAACTCTAGGAGCATCTTCAGCCCTGCAGATACCCCTTTCGACCTGAATTATAGTATGGTGGTATGAGACTGTCCAACCCCCATCACAGTAACAAATTCTGTTACCTACAGATGAATAACGTATTTATGTGTAGTTTATGCTTCTGTGCACACATGTAACAACTAACTCTCAGTTATTTGAAGATTTATACATGACTATTTGCAACAGCTAAAATACCACTAAAGGGTTAATAAAAATACTAGTTGGAAAAAAAAAATCCTTTCTAACATTAGTCTGCCAGTCTTGCATGAACAATGATCCTTTTCTTTTAAATTCTTTTATGCACCAGAAAATTAAAGCTTAGTATTTTTATCTTGAAACACTACTCTGCCAAATAAGAAAACCTAAAAAGAGCTTGTGTGACATCTGAAAGGTGATTTTTTTTTTTAAATTGACATTCACAGTACACTGAATTCTTTAAAAGCTTTCATCCACCTTTCCTCTAGTTTTATGTTAGAAACCTTATTATTCTCCTTTTTCTCAGTTTTCTGTTTACCCCCAAAATATCATTCTATCTTCTTTTTCTAGATCCTCACTATTTAGGCATCCTCATTCCCTTAAATCACTTCTTCGGACATTAATAACAGAGATACAGAGCAAGCAATGCCATAGCCTGCTAGTAGAAATAAAATACCACTTTGTTAATCACTGTTCAGAGAAAAAGGGTGAAAAATGTTAGCATCTCACAAATTGCTATGTGCCTTGTAAACACTTAAGTCACAAACTTTCATCATGAATCTTACTGTGTCAAGCTCCAGCAGCGACCTAAATTCTATCCTTAGTATCGAAGACTAGTACCATTAAACTCATACCACTGAGCATAAAGCTGAGTTTACAGAATTATTTAATCCAGTCCTAAAGCAGAATTTCAGAACAGAAGTTTAAAGTCGGCTGCAAGTTCAACCCTCGCAACCCAAAACACATAGCAAGGACCTGCATTAAAATGCCTCCCCTTGAACTAGAGCTTAAGCTCACACAAACAAAGTCCTGTACAGATGCCAGGCCATGCATACCTGTGGGATGAGACAAGATTCCATAATATTGCAGCTTGAAGTTCACTAGAGAAGGAAGATGGGTACTAGGAAAATGGTAGTCCTATCAGCGGAGTATTAGCCAGACACCCCCCCCCCACCCATCCCTGTCATGGCCACGCACCTCTGCAAAGGCTTCTCTATTGCCAAGTCAAATGAAATCTATAAAAAGGTTATCAACAGCCGTAAAGAGCTACGAAAATTTCATTTTGATGAGGGCAGCAAATTTATGCTTCCTGAATGCTGAAAGAAAAGTACAGCAATTCTTCCAATGGGATACAGACTTTGGTCGTCTCCCCCCCCCCCCCCCCTTCCTTAGCAGTACCCTGGACTATTAACAAGTATAGGTGATAAATCCATTCAAAATCCACTCAAAATACTCATGTACATGTGATCTCTCCACTTTCTTCCACCACAGCATCTCATCCCTCTGTAAGCCAACATTAGCTATCATTCCAGACGAATGAATCCCCTTCCCCTTCCATAACTGAGTACTGATTTCCCTTCGATGCTGTTCACTTCAGAACATCAGGGAGCAAAAAGTTTCTTACAAAGACTTTTCATAAATAATTAAGCAAAGGATCACAATATTGCAAGTATACTTATTTAATTCAGAAACAGAAAATTCAAATGGATTTTGTGGAACTGCCAAATGGTAAGCATATAAAAATGTTGGTGGTACTCACTCAGGAAGCCAGCTGACAAAATCCATCAGGGAAGGAATTAGATGAGGTGGTATTTTATAAAATTCAGTTGCAGCTTTTTGTAATGGGAGATTTGTTAACATCCTATAGAAACTGTGAAACCCATCAGAAAGGCCCCTGGAATAATGCAGCCTTTCCATAACCCTCTATATTGTTCTCCTGGCTGTGTAACAGACAAGGAGAAGTTTCTCTACAGTTGCAAAACAACAAGCCCCTGCTAATGCTGAGATCAGGTTTGCCTCTGTGGAGTGAAGCAGTATGATTTCAGTATGGCGTAAACTTCCACAAATTACAATTTAAATAAACTGCCTGGAGCTTATCAATGAACAAACTATGCAGTTCTTGGCTCCAACAGGAAAAGTTTTAGAATCTTTTCAGTTTTTACTAAGTTACTTATTAAATTCAGTCAGGTCTTTTGTTTGGAAACTGCAGCATAGGATGCACTTCCAGCAGGCTGAAGAATCACATTACCTAATGCTGCTCAGAACAGTGGGTTTCAAAATTGGAGAGCCCGTTTTAACAACCACCCCCAATGCTGCTAAACTTAGAGAAGCAGAACACCACCAACAACCACTCAGATTTTTTTTGCCAAGTTTTCCCTCTTCTTCTCCTCCTCCTCTGAAGAGAAGCTACAGATAAATGGTGGCACTCTGCAAGTCTGTATCCCTGGTTACATTTCAGTGCGGCACACAGAGAATGCAGAGCAGATGACAAAATTGTCAGATCAGAATTCTGAACTCCATTCCACCTATCTTTGCTGCGAGCCAAGCAGGGAGGTCACCGGAAAACTGTGCACACTTCCTTCACTGTTAACGAAGTCCCCAGGACAGCATTCACGTCATCCTAAAGCAGGTTAACTACAGAAGTACAATCAACTGCATCCTACAAGTGCCTGTGCTTCCTCCATCAATTATAAAAGCAAAACCACATTATTTACATGCACACATTACAAAGCCACATTAATTTTTATTGAGCAAAGATATTTTCTAATCAAGCCCCCCCCTCCCCAAAAATCAAAAAATATTCAAACACCCTGAAAAAATGGAGGATGCCCTGACCTCTATCAGCTGAAGTTCCTGACCATCCAGTATGGCATAACAGCATTCCCATTTTTCAGACACAAAAACATTTAAAGCATTGCTAGCAACAGCTCGAGTACTTGACCAAAAAGTTCTACTACATATTTAAGTACTGCATTATTTAGACTTCCTCCAAGCAAGGCAAATGACTGTACTTAATATACTAGTGATTGCAGAAAGTGTTGTTTCTAAGAAACTATTACCAAATTAACAGCAAAGATGGGCAAGCACATTATCTCTTTCAGTCATTCATCCACAGCTGAGGGACAACAGACATCTGGCTCAGCTTTGCCTCAGAAGACAGAAGAGCTGAAATTCACACACAGTAGTATCTGTGAATAAACACAGCCAGAAAAACAGCCAGCAGGGAAGGGAGTACAGGACAGGCAATGAGGGCTGGGGCTGTGGGCACCTCCCAGCATCTCCTGGCTCCACACAGGACAAGAATAATTACATGTGGTCCTCCCAGTAATCAAGAAAAGTGGCATATTTGGCAACTTTGACCAGCAGGCGGTCATGGTTTAGAAGCACATTGGTATTATTTCCTGCAACTGTTCCAAGGGCTGCATTTAACCTCTGGGAAGTGATATGAATAGACGTGATGTTTTCCAGAGGGAAGGGTGTTAGTGGTCAGTTTTACCCAAACATAGCCAAAAAGGTGTCTTCAGGTTAAGCACCCAAGTCTTCCATTCTGTTGACATGGTTTTATTTTCTGACTAGAAGAATTAAAAAGCAATTTCCCTAGTAAATACTTGATGCTCCCTTTCATTAGAAGACATGAAGAATTTAACACACTCATATTCAACTCTCTTGCTGAATACATTTTCACTATTATTTAACAACAAAACAACTGTTTACAGAGAATTTAAACCATGCAAACTTTGCAAAGAAAAACCAAGAATTTACAGGTGGTTTGCCACTTAGTGAACTTGAGAAAAAGTGTTTCTGAATAGTGGGTACAAACAGCAACCTTATTAGGAAAATATTCAATGTTTATTTTGTTCAAACATAACACCAAACTGTAAGAAATGTTTGGTTGTTTTGGATGATGAAACAGAAAGCAAAACGAAAACTGCTTTCAAATAACCTGCCTGCTGGACTTGGTAGTAATTTCCACAACTGCAACATTTTATCAGCTATTTAACTGAAAATACAGGATACAGAGTCCCAGACAATCACAGTTGCTGTGCACATACACTCTTAATTAAAGCACGAAAGCTTGTTTACTCCTGTTACTACTTGTAACAGCCAGCTAGCTGACTATACCTAATCAGGTATTAAGGAGTTGAGAGCTGTGAACCTGCTTTCCAGTCAGAATTATGAGGAATTCAAAACTGTGTAATTATTATCCAAAACAGAAATTGTTCTTGACCTTATTAGCAGAAGAGAAGACAAAGCGATTTATTACTTGAAGACTATCATATAAAGTCCACTTGCAGCGGAACTTCAGAAATCATCTTCACAATAAAATATTCACAGAGGTTCACTTTTCTTTTAAAAAAAAAAAAAGAAAAAAAAAAGAGCAGCATGTATGAGGCCGACAATTACTTGAAAATAATTTAAAAAACACCTTGACTCCAACTGGTAATTTAAAGTAGCCAACAGAAGCATTTTATTTCAAACCTAGACCACCATTAGCAAAAGAAAACCATCAAGCATTCTCATAAGTAGGTGCACTACTATCTGCTGAAAAAAAATGACAATTTTTTACCTATGGACTTCTAAAATTATTTGAAGTGAATTCTAGCATCCCCTTATCCACATCACTAAGGATAAACAAAGCCTTAACTCAACAGATCCTAACCTCCACATGCTGGATTTCGGACTATCTCGGCATACTCTGCAATGAGTCAGCCCAGCCATATTACACTCTTATCTTTCCTTAGTACCCACTGAAGACATTTCCAAAACAAAACCAATGTAGTTTCTATGCTTTAGTACAAACACCACTCTGACAAATGCATATGCTTGTACACTAACATCCCACTTTCTCGAGGTGTTGGGAGTGTTTTGTACAGTGCCAGGCTACCTTGCTACAAATTGTACTGCTGTGCCTTTCTGGTCATCATCAAACAGCTGCTTTCTGACTTTTTCATTATTAGTTTCCTTTTCACAGCTTAAATCCCTGCTAGTATTACTGGAAATTTATTACTTGGGTTCATTTTTATTTCTCTCTGTGTGTTGGTTCTTGGTTTCCTTGGATTTAGGAGTACAGGAGAAGTAAGTTTTTATGTTGGAAAGCCCCAATAAATATTTTTAGATACACAACTTACGAAGATTGCAAGTGTTACTTGAACAGTTTGGTAAAAGAAATACTTCTGGGCTGTGGGGGGGAGAATCAGAACTGCCTGGTGCAACAGGAATTCACCACTGTGGAAATTCTATTTGAACAGAACTACGACAGCACAAGGTCAACATGAAGATTTGCACTTCAGGGCTTAATCTAACATATTACACCATGCAAAATGAAATGGCAGAGCTTCATTATTTCTGTTTAGGACATTCCCTGAAAGGACACTTTGAACAGAAATTATAAAGTGAAACCTCCTGCTGATCTCATCATTTTTTTTTGAGATGGGGCATTACAGTTCCTGAGCACTGTTCTGCATCTCATGGACACACTGATGGATCTAGGGGCACCTGGTCCTTAGCAATCTGTTAAACCTGCTTCTTGCAGCTGAGGCAGGTTTTGTCTGAAAGCTCATTCTTCTCATTCTAATAATATTACAGGTTTATACATGAGATAATAACTACATACTGTTACTAAGGCAAACAACTGTTTGATTTAAAGGTATTAAGAAACTGTCACTGCCAAAACAACTGAGCTAGTAACATTTTTAAAAACACTCCGCTCTCAGAGCTCATTTGCCTGCCAGAACGATGTTGAACAGGTGATTTATAATAAAGTGCAGCGCAACAGTACAAGTAAATACCAGAATGAGACGTGAACAGATGGCTGTTTGAAACTGCCAAGTTTGATTTCCAGTTTTGTTCAAATTTTTATTCCTTTTCTCATCATGACACGTTTAGAAAAGAAAATGTGGTGGCAACTGTAGGGTAACGTGAGTACCAACAAGTCTGAAAGACTTAGAGGGGAAAAAAAACAACCTTAACTATCATAATACTAACAGTGAACGCTCTTTGTAGTGATACTAATTATTGTGCCTAAGTTACCAGCATCCTTTCCAACACAGAAAGAATTTGCTGGAGTGTCTAAAATTCAAACTGTGCATTAAACTGTCCATGATAATCTGGAGCCAGAAACACTCAAGTATTCAATGCACTCTAAAAGTAAGGAGGACATTTCCTGGACTTTTTTTAGGTTTCATTTTCATTCTCCATTAAACTTCACCCTACTTGCTTCCTTGACATCATCAGTATCAACAAAAGGGGGAATCTTCTAGAAAGACACGAGGTTTTGAAATCTGAGGAAGAAGGAGTCCCAGAACTATGTACTCCCAATAAATCTCATTAAACAAATCCACTTAAAATCTCATTCCTTTGTGGATAAGCACAGACCTCTACACAGATGCAAATTGTTTTACAGTTATGTTGTAAACCCCCTCCTTCTGGGACTTTTCAATTTATGTCAATGTGTAATTAGCAAATGAATTGCACTGTAGATTGCATCCAGTACTCTGTTCCTTTTCTTTCTTTAATTCTTCAACTAACGTTCCCTGTCCCACCCCCCCCTTTACAAAACTCTCAAACCATTTTCAGTTTACTGATTATCAATAAAATCAGCTTAGTATCACAGAAAGTCATGAGAGCTGGCAGCTGGCCAATACATGACTTGGTGGCAGGAATCATCTTCCAGTACATGTAACCCATCAGGAGAACTGCTGCTGAGAGTTCCGAATCAATATAAACACAGTTCATGTTCAGTTGGTCATTAAAGGCGTTTTCCTCTTTCTTCCTCTACTGAATAATGACACACAGTTCATATGCTGAAATACAGTTAGGACCTTTATAACATTATTTTTCAGTACTGTCAAAAAATTACTTTTAATATAATAAATGCAAACTGCTGTCAGTTAATCTTGTTTAGGAATCCTCAGCTAACCTATTTTGGTAACCATATCTTCAAGATTATGCAGGGCACCTATATGATGCATAAGCAAATGTCTGTATTACTTAAATGGGATATTCACAAATGGGATACTGCTCAGAGAAGCTGTGGCTGCCCCACCCCTGGTAGCGTTCAAGGCTCCAGGCTTGGAGCAACCTGGTCTAGTGGAAGGTGTCCCTGCCCATGGGCTAGATGAGCTTTAAGGTCCTTCCAACTCAAACCATTCCATGATTCTACATTTCTGCTTTTAATTCCGAACCCATGCTGTACTGTGGAACATACCTGGCATACTTAACTATTTTACTGGTTATTTTTCATGCACCTCCTCCCTTTAAATACAACACAACATTCAAGGTTTTCAACCAATTGCTATGAAGAAGAAATACATGTCTTGGCTTTAAGACTCAAAGCTGCTACACAGCGGCAGTGATCCTACACCAGACACAAGATAAAGACCTTTATTCTTCCTAGATTTTAACAAGGAGTTAAGAAATAGAGAATGTCTCTTGTTATAGGATAGCTCCTACACCATTTTAGCTAAAGTGTCAAGGGCTTATCTGTCCATGCAGTGTGGTCCAGCCCTCCTCATCACTGCACCATCTCACCCTTCAAACATCTACTATAGCTTTGCATACCAGAATTGTCCCAGGACACAGCCACCGGTGGCAAACACCTCTGAGCCCCTTACACTTCAGCATCATCACAGCACAAAGGAGCTGTTGCAATCCAGAAACGTACAATGGGCAGAAAAAAAGGCAAAATATAGCAAGGGAGAGAATAAAAAAGTCAAGCCTTTAGTCCAAAAATTCCAGTAAAATACATGCTTACATTGTCTT